GTGGTGCTAAGCAGCCGTGAGTGCCACAGCCCTTGGCATGTGGAAGCTCAGTTTGTGCACACCTCCAGAGGCCTGGCTTAGAGACCCAGGAACCTGCCGGAAAAGGGGGTCTGGCATGGGATGGTAAGGCTCTGTGCATCCTAATGACAATTGGCTTATGGTGAGCTGTAGTTCATGGGCTGCCTTTGTGAAGGCCAGGGTTCAAAGGGATTGCTGCCTTTCTCCTTAAACTGGGCCCTGATACGGGTGGAAGGAAGTGTTGGGGGTATTTGCCATCACATGGACACAGTATTCATTGACTTGGCGTAGAGCAAAACTTTCCATCCAGCTTCTGGTTGTTTATTCTGCTTGTTATCGAACACCTAGCTATTTGGAAATGTCCAGTTGTTTTTTTTTTTTTGCAATGTGGAAACCAAACATCCAGGTGACAGCCTGGGTCTTTGGCCTTTCCCCTTTCCCCTACGTGTTTCAGTATCGTAACAGACTAAATCTACATTCCCAGTTGTCACCTGAAGATAGCTGCGGCTTTAAACATGCACCTCGGAAGACTTAGGTAGCAGAGGAATTCTGAAAAAACCTGTCTGGGCCATCTTTTGTCTTTGTGACCACGGGCGTGGAATGTTTGTGGAATCCACTTTTTTGTATTAGGAGTAAAAGAGTTTAGGCCATTAGCTTCAATCTGCTTTGTTTCAGTATGGAAATGTTATTTTTACAAGTTTTTAGTGAACATAGTTTTGAAGCCTCATGCTGTCTAATTCTGTTCCTTGGCAGACGAAAAATAATGGTGAATTCCACAAAGATTTGGCCATGGGCAGGAATGAGAAGAAAGGGTTGTGCGTGTGTCTGCCGGTGCAGGATTTCTGTCGTCCCCAGCCCTGTCGCTCAGGCTGCCAGAGACTTACAGCCGCGGTGGTTTTGCAACAAGAGCAGCTACCACTGAAGGGGGAGGCAGGGGGAGCGGTTTTATTTCACTTTGTGGGTCAGATGTCTGCGATTTCAGTTTAAATTTGAAAAGCAAAAATGAGAAAAAAGGCAGCAACGTGCATAACTCCACCTACTTATACAAAATGTCCTGCTAACAATTTAGTACAGTTTCATTCTGATTTTAGCTATGTTTATACGGTCATGCTTATAGATTCGGGGCTGTACCTTAGGCAGTGGTAGGGTTGTGTGTGTGTGTGTGTGTGTGTGTGTGGTATTTCTATGCAATGGAATCCTGAATATACATATTTTTATCCCACCTACTTTTTTCCCCCCATTTATCAGTAGCTGTTCATGATATCTTACCTGGTCCGAACTTAAGGATACCTCATTCTTTTTAGTGACCCTATGCTCTTTTGTTGGAATGAATTAACTCTACGTTAGTTCACATAGGATGAACTGTGTATTATTAATGACTCTCTTCCTGAGGGGTTCAGTTTTGCTGTTACGAACGGTGCTCGAAGCAACAGTCTTGTTCATGTGCCTTGAAGTCATCCTGCTGTTTTCTGTGTAGGCTAGATTTCCAGAAGTGGAATTCACTGGGTAAAAAGAAAAAATGTGCTGCTAATTTTAATAGGCGCTACCAGATTATTTTACAGAAAGGTTTTTCTCCATGTTCCTGTTCTCAGTTTGAGCCTCTCTTTCCCTCCACTCTCACTCAGTACTCCGTGCGGTGGCTTTACCTAATTTTTGTTAATCAGCTGGGGAACAACAGTGTCTCGTTATTGTTTTAATTTGCATTTCCCTGATTGTTAATGAGGTTAAGTGTCTTTTCCTATGTTTATTGGGTATTTACATTCCCTTTTCTGTGAAAGTAGAGATGTACATTTGATCTAACTGGCAGAAGGATGGTAGCTCTAAAAAGATGAGGAATATTAGAAAAACACTGTGAAGAGGACATCTGACATTTTTGTTGGAAGGGCAGTGTCTTTAGGTTGACCCTGAATCGGGGTGTAGAATTGAAGTGCTTAGGAAAGAAACACAAAAGTCTTTGTGCCTTTGCTCCCCATCTTGATAGTTACTGTTTGTCCTCTCTCAGCTTGTCATTAAGCAACCACTAATTAACGGTGGGATATCCCCTATGAAAGTGTCAGACGTTCCCACTGTTGGCAGCTTCTAAGGGCGTCCATTTGGAAAATGCCACAGCTCATAAAATTTGGGATTGGTGGTATGTCAAGGAATCAAATACTGGAGCAATGGTGTAAGAAAATAAAAATTAACCGCCCTGCATGGGGCACTATTGATTGAGTACCAAGGTCTCGGAAAGGGCAGAAGCACCTTGTCTGGTCAATGTGTTTCTCATTGTGAAAGCATTTGATAAATGTTAACTTGTTAATATTTGTCGTGCATCTCCAGGAAGTAAATATTCAGGGAGCACAGGCTCTTGACGAGGGATCTTACGTGGAATGCCATAGCCCCAATGAGAGACTAGATCTGACCATATGCCTGGGGGTTAAAAACGGCAGTGGTATGCCGAGCTGCATATGCCAAGATTTAATGTCTTGGGCAGAGGCAGATGATGCCCTCCCTGTGCAGTTCAGGTTCAGCTCCATTTGGAATGTGCTGTGTGCCAAATCTGGATCCAGGCGCAAGAAAGACATTGACAGTTTGGACGGGGTCCAGAGACAGGCACTAGTCATGATTAAGGGCTTATGGGCATGACATTTGAGCGGGGGCTCAAAGAACTGAATATTTACAGCAGGGCTAAATGCTGGATTACGTGGCTTGGTGACGTCAGGGCCTATGGCTTCATCCCCAAGTTACCCTCCGTGTGATTAGTTTTTCAGAGTCCAGGAAAGTCCCATTTCTGATACCCCCTGAGAGCTTGGGGAGAGGGAGGGTCTCCGCGTGGGCCCATCTGCCTCAAGTTAAATCAAGAAGTTAGTACCGGAGTCTTCCATGCTCTTTAGCACACAGCTCCAGGGTTAACACCCAGGGGGCCAGGATTTCGGGAGAGAGTTCTCATTGCCCTGGAAAACTTAGCAACCGCCTCTTCTTCTTCATAGCATTCCCTCTACACACCGTGCACGGAAGGCCTATCTCTCCTAAGAGGGGACCTAGCCTGTTTGGGTTCTCCTATAAGTCTATGGCCCAGCCAAGAGCAGAAGGCAGGTCTTCTCCAGGGGAGGAGACAGACTCTCTCCACTGGGGTCCGATGCCTTCAGATTCATTTTACTGCCAGACTCTTCGCCTGGGACAGTGAGAAACAACGTCCCCTCGTCAGCTCCATGACAGTAGATTGAAAGAGTCTTCAGGATTATACAGGGGAGTTGGTGAGAGGGCAGCAGCTAGAACAGAGGGACTGTCTGCTCAGAACTCACTCTTACTTCATTGCTTGTACTCAGTGAGGAAGAGTCCAGCCCTCACCCGCGGGATCCTGCATGAGACTGTCTGTGATGAGCAGGGGGCTCGTTTTTTGAACTCGGTGTCTAGCTGCTCTCTCAGAGAGTGGCTCGCAACAAGGCTAAACATCTGATGTGACACGCGTTGGGTGGGAGCAGACTCTGATAGCCTCTTACCTCTGTTGGCGCTGCTTTTCAAAGCGGACAGCTGCTCTGCCCTCCTGTTTTTATAATGGAGCATTCATGAGATGATTTTCTTTATTCTCTAGTTCCTTGACTCACTCATGTGCTTGCAGAGGCTCTGCGGGTATTATCGGTTTTTTTTATGTGATTAAGGCAGAAAACACTTGCAGTGCTCAGGGAATCATTCAGAAGGTCAGTTGAGATTCCTGAAATCATAGTTAAGACTGGTAGGGCCCTGGCTTTTTATTTATTTATTTTTTCTCCATGTCTTTAGAGTGCCTGCCCCAAAATACCTTTACAACATGATTTGGATTTGGAGAAAAAGGTTAAAGCCTTGAACCTGCAAGATAAAATCTGCATTTTATAAAAAAGATTTTATTTATTTGACACACACACACACACACACACACACACACACACATACACATGAGCGTAGCAGGGGGAGGGGCAGAGGGAGAGGGAGAAGCAGGCTCCTGCCGAGCAGGGAGCCTGATGTGGGGCTCTATCCCAGGACCCTGGGATCATTACCTGTGCCGAAGGCAGGTGCTTAACTGACTGAGCCATCCAGGCGCCCCGATAAAATCTGTATTTTGGTCTTAGTAAGGAAAAGTCATGCTTGCTTGAAAGTTTGAGTCGGTGAAAATATTTTAAAAGCAAGGTGGGAATGTTAGAGTCTAGTCTGTTTGCATGTTGACAGAACTGTGGGTAGGAATCACAATAGCTTATTTTCACATGTGCTGCTTATCTTTGAAAAGTCTCAAGGAGTTTGTAAGCAGATGGATATACAACTTAGGTTTCCTGAGGATTCATTGCTCCCATATTTGGAATTCTGGGTATGTCTCTCAGGAGTATGTAGCATCTATTTGGCCACTGCCAGAGATGGGGGGGTGGGCAGACCTGTGTTCCCAGTTGAAACCTCTTGAGACCGCCAGACAGCATCTGAGGGCTGTGGGGAAAGGAACTGGAAGGCTCCAGGAACAATGGAGAATCTAGCTTGTGGGCTCCTTGGGAGAATTGCATTAGCTAAGGCGGGATGGAGTGCTCAGAGCAGTGCCTGGCATATAGTAAGTGCTCATTGGCGTTGGCCCTAAGTGGTCCGTGGGTGCCGTGGGGCCTGAGGGTTCCTAGTGGATGAGCAGCCTTTCCACCCCTCTGCTCTGGGGCACTGATAGGGTCGCAGGCTAATGTGCAGGTTCCCCCGGCCATTTGGTAGCTCCTGGAGGAACCCTCACACCACGACAGTGACAGACCCACCCCGCACACTTGCAGATCTGAACACGTCCATATCCTGTTGCCAGACAGTCACCTTGATGGTAATGATTGTTTTCATTTGTCTCCATTCTGAGTCCTTACTATATGGGAAATGTAGAATTCAGGTGATTCTTCTCTACCTTCCTTGTCTCCCTCAACTTCTTTTTAAATCAAGAAGGCAAAGTGCCTGGTATTCTGTGCTAAAAGACTGTTAAATAAGCACCTTTACTTTGATCTTTTCAGGTGCGAAACCAACATTGGAGCCTTATTATGGAGAGCGTGGTCCCGTCCGACAAAGGAAATTACACCTGTGTGGTAGAGAACGAGTATGGTTCCATCAATCACACGTACCACCTCGATGTTGTTGGTGAGTGTGCTTCTCCCTGAGGGGCAGGTGTATAGCACCTTGCCGTCATGGCATCATGAAAACAAGTCCTGTTTCTCACCATGGTTTAAGGAGAGTTGATGCATTCTTCTTTCTAAATACATGCTGTCGTTGGAGAAGGGTTCTTCTATCATTTGACAGTGTGCTTTTTCCTGATGCGCCATGTTTTATGTATTTTGTGTGATTGTCTTGGTTCCCTTGCATCTTGTGCAAAATGGACATAGTAGGAAAGGCGCTGATATTCCGGAAGCTGAGATTACTCTGAAGAATGTTAGTGTGTTCAGGGAAAGGGTACAGATACGCTCTAGGAGGACTTTTAAAGATTTATTTATTTTAGAGAGAGAGCAGGAGCGAGTGCAGGGGGCGGAAGGGCAGAGGGAGAGAGAGAGAGAGGGAGGATCTCAAGCAGACTCCACGCTGAGCGTGGAGCCTGATGCGGGGCTCGATGCCAGGACCCTGACATCACGACCTGAGCTGAAACCAAGAGTCGGATGCTTAACCGACTGAGCCACCCAGGTGCCCCTAGAACTTTGTTTTTAAAAGAGAGGCAACATGATCTAAAGAAGGGCGATTATATTATGCCAGCTGAAGAGTAAAGGAAAAGGTATCACGAAGACTGAGCTGATGGCTGGCTGGGGCAGATCAGGGTCAAGGCACCCTTCACTTGCATCAGGAGAAAGTCATTCAATATTGTAGGTTCAGCGTTTGTTCCTAGAAACGATTTCTTCTGTGAAAAGGGAACTGTGTATGGGCTTGTAAATCTCTTAGGTGCTCAGATAGGTAGGCTATTTTAATTAGGTATCTTAAGACCATGAGCCTGTTGTCCTGGAATTTCAATTTCTTCCCGTCTTGCCTGTTGTGATGGGTTGTGTTGTAACTGATGAGGAAATAGGGTTTCTCTGTCTTGTTGGAGGATTGGAGATGCCGAGGATGTGTGTCATTGCTGCAGGGATGGTGTGCTAAGATCCTTTCTTTGTGTGATCCATCTTTTCTCTGTCTTGTCATCTACCTGGACACTCAGGATCACCACCTGGCCTTGAGTCCTGGCTGAGGGTCAGCTAACCAGTTTGCCCTTCTCTTGCGGATTGCTGGCGCCTGCAAGAGGTCTCAACTCCAGGCTCTCCCTGGTGGATTTTGCCTTAATGTGACCCTATGTAACTCCACAGACTCATGCCCCCACCCTCTGAGGTGTCTATGAACAAAGGCTTTCCTCCATCATTTCCTATGCATGTGTCCCTCGTATTATTTCATATGTGGGCATTTCTTCTCCTTTAAGAAACTAGAAACTCTTTGAAGAAAGGCTCCATAGCGATTTGAAGTGCTCAAAGAACCATGAAAACACCTTCCAAAAGCTTGATTAACCAAATTACATAGATTTTGGTTAGTTGAAGTTTTTAGGTTAACTGAAAATGAAACAGAAAACCATTTTGATTTTCTATCAAGTTAAAATAAATCCATAAGAAACTCTGCCTTAGCATGAGATAGTGTTTATTTCCACATGTATGTTAGAATTCAGTGAAAGAAAGTATTTGTGACATTTTATTATTCAGAAGCCTTAATGTGAAATTTGGTAGCTTTTACATAATGTATATCCTGTGGACATTCATAAGAGACTGAGTTTCAGAACCCTCTTTTCTCACAGAGGTATTTGGGGGAGGTTTTTTTAGTGGGAATTACTGTGTACAGATATCTTATAGATCAAACAGAAAGAAGTAACACTCAAATATGAGAAGAGAATGGCGAGCATTTATTGTGGCATTGATGCACCATAAATCTGTTGATTAAGCACACAATGTGGAGTTCACGTTGGGCCTCACATCTCCTGAATTTGACATGAGAGTGTTTCTATTTAAGGAAAGAAAGATTTGGGGCTACAAGTTCTTCAGTACTTAATTTTGAAACTAAGTAGTTGTGTGAATAAAATAATTGTGTTGTAGCAGTCCGCGGGGGATTCTGGCTTTGCATAGGTCCACAGATTGTTCGCTGGGATTGGCTGGAGACCCGTCTAGGAATCAGGAGTCAGCTTGGCCACCTCAGCCATGGGCTGTCTCGCTCCTAGCAGGTTTTAGGTTGAGTTGTTATGTAAAACATTCAAAAGCCCCTCACCCCACCTCTCCTTTGAGCTTTCTGGCAGCTCATCTCTGTGAAGCCCTGCAATCTCTCTTACAGTTTAGGGCTGGATTTGAATTGGGCTGCTGAATAATGGAATTGTGCTGTCTAATGTTAATCCCCTGGCAATCAGTCTTGTTGAAAAGAGCGTATGATTCAGTGGTGTAATGTAGAGGGAGCATAGAGCGTATGGAGTAATGCAGAGAAAGGCCCGATTATGTCACAAATTTGGGAGATTGCCCAGCCAGACGTGGGCCAATAATGACACAATGCTGGTTGGGAATATCCATTAAAGCTCAACCCCTAATAATTTTCCAAGCCTTGAACCTTCTTTATAAATAGAAGCCAAAAGTCAGTGGAGTATAAGACATTTTCAGGAAAGATGGAGGTGTGAAATACTCTCATCTTTGCTCAAAACCCCAGTAATTGCTTTGAGAAGCACTAATAAAGTAAGAATTGAGTCAGCTCGAGAGTCTCATGTAGACTTACGGGGTTGGCAGGCAGGCGTTCTGAACATCTCAGCAAGAGGCAACAAAAGGGATTCAGGCTTGAACAACGATTTTCTGGAGGCCCATAGTCCAAGTGTAATATACCGCCACGTGATAACAAGCTTCCCAGCTACAGCTGCGTCTCAGAAAAATTGGAGACTCTGTCCCAGTGAAAGTGAAGTCCTGTCCTCATTCACATTCTTCGAGGGTTTATTTTTGTTGCTATGATACATAGGTTTGCGGTTCAGATATTACGAAGCATCAAAATGGGCGAGATCTTCTTACTGAAACTCTTCCTCAGAAAGGCATTCCCATAAGCACTTTCACGTAAAAGCCGTGTAATTTAAGTGACATTCTTGTGTTCTGGAATTAAACAGCCAGCCATTGTTGTGTGTGAGGGAAATGCTCTCGTGTAGGGGAGCCCTTTTAGGAGCCTTGCTTGATCCTCATTAAAATTGACACCATTACTTTTCAGCCATTTACTTGCGAGGGAAAATTAGCACGAGACTCCGCATCTCAGTAATTGTGACTCTCGGAAACCAGGCTCCCCTCACAGGGCTGGCTCCGGGAGGTGGCGGGTCTTGGCCCTCGTTCATCAGCGAAATGAGGCTGAAGCACCGGGTTCTGATGGCTCTGCCACCAAGAAGCCGCAGCCTGGGACAGATCCCGTAACCTTGGGTTTCGCAGCCCTTGTGTCTGCGAATGAAGGAGCCGAGACCCATTTACGTCCTCAAAAGGCAGCCCGGTGGTGTGGAGAGAGCAGCAGGGCCCCGAGGGAATTGTCACAAGTCCCTTAGCCTTTCCTGAGCCTCTCCGGCCTCATCGGGGGAGTTGGAATGATGGTACTAGCTCATTCGCGTGATAGTTGTGTCTGTCTCCTAGGGGCTGCTGTGATGAGCACAAACTGGGTGGCTTAACACAACGGAAGGTGATTCCGTCTCCATTCTGGAAGCCAGACATTTGAAGTCAGGGTGTCAGTGGGGTTCGTTCCTTCTGGAGACTCTGAGGGGGGCATCAGTTTCACGCCTCTCCCCAGCTTCTGGTGGCTGCTGGCCGCCCTCGTCTTGTGGGCATGTCGCTCTCGTCTTGGCCTCTGTCTTCTTGTGGCTTTGGTCTCTGCGTCTCAGATACCCTCCCATGTGTCGCCTACAGGGACACCTGTCATTGGATTGAGGGCCCGCCCTCCATCCAGGATGGTCTCATCTCAAGATCCTTAACTTAATTACGAAGACCTTGTTTCCAAATAGGGTCACATTCACAGGTTCCAGGGGTGAGGACATGGACTTATCTTTTGGGGGGGGGCCAAGTTCAAGCCACTACAGTGGTTATGAGGAATCTGTTTGGGTTAACAGATTAAACAAAACAAAAACCCTCCACCAAATTGGCATCAGGTGGCCAGCAACAAATGCTGATTTTCTTCCTTCAAACCTGGACTTTCTGGAGAGTTAGAGGGCATCTTTAGCTATTTTTATTTTTTTAAAAGATTTTATTTATTTGAGGGAGAGAGAGCATGAGAGAGAGCGGAGGGAGAGGGAGAAGCAGGCTGAGTGGGGAGCCTGACGTGGGGCTCGATCCCAGGACCCTGTGATCATGACCTGAGCCGAAGGCAGGTGTTTAACCGACTGAGCCACCCAGGCGCCCCTAGAAGGCATTTTTAATAGCTTTCATTAGACTCCATCAGAAGTTTTATTAAATAAACTGAATGCCATGTTGGGGCCCTTCTGTGGGGGCCGTCCTGCTGGCTTTATACCTTTGGTTAATGCGGTCGTCACGGCCGTCCCAGGACTGGTCCAGTTGCAGGAGAGGATCGTGGTGTTTGAGAGCTCTAAGTTCCTGAAGGTGGCGTCCACCCTCACCTCTCACCCCGCTGATAGTTGAGGTGATGAGGGATTTATTTGCCAATGACTTAAAAGAACTCCAGAGCGGGGGCCTCCATCTAGGTGTTCTGGAAACCTGGATTAATGCTCCATGCACTGCACATGGGGGTCTCGGTTTTAGTTGTCCCATGGTGTGGACCAGCACTGCAAAACTCTGGAAAGGTGCTGCTGTTACCCCCGCCCCATGTTCAAAACAACAAGGTGAGAGAGAGAGAGAGAGGGGGGGAGTTGGAATGATGGTACTAGCTCATTCGCGTGATAGTTGTGTCTGCAAAACTCTGGAAAGGTGCTGCAAAACTCTGGAAAGGTGCTGCTGTTACCCCCGCCCCATGTTCAAAACAACAAGGTGAGAGAGAGAGAGAGAGAGAGAGAGAGAGATGAAAGTATTTAATGGACCAGTTGGTCCTCCTCGCTCATAGAGACCATCGGCTTTGATTTATGAACTTTTTCTCCCTTTGCATGTCCCAATTCTGCAATCTCAGAGGCCATGAGATAAGTTTTGAGCTTT